GCATAGTACCATTTGGTTTTCCACCTTTATCAATAAGTTCCAGAAATTAGGTATTGCGATAGATTCTCTTCTTTTATGTGATGAACCACATATTATATAAGAACGGTTCAACAAAGACATATGGATCATGAATTTAAAAAAATGTTCCCCCTGCCACCCTCCTATTTGCTCAGCAGCCAGTCTAGGTATCTACCAAAAACATGGAGTGATGTCTCACTAGTTTACCATCTTAGATTCTACACTGTGCCTTTACTCTGGCCCACCTGCATGCCTCTCCATCGAAAGTTCTCTATGGCAGATTCAGGTAAATACCCTTTCCAAAAAGGCTGTGCCCATGTGAACTGGGAACTCCTGATTCCTTATCCCATATTATTTTGAAGTGCCCATTATTTGTGTCCCAGCACAGTCTATTTTTATTTACTTTCCAAATAACAATCTTACAGATGAGAAAATGCCGTCAGCTTTTAGAAGGTGCAGATTCTAAAACCACCATATGTGTTGCAGTTTTTAGCAGAAGCATATAAAATCAAAATTGAAACACACCCGTAGATTTTAACCAACTAAAAGATGTCTGCTCCTCTTTGATATTTTATATTTGATACACTACTATTTTAAAATTATGTTTTATGCTCTATTTATATTTATCAGATTATTTATATATGCACTGATAATCATATGTAACTATTTCTGTTTTTTATGCCAATAAAGGTATGTGATGATTAATAATTCATTAAGTTTCCACAGCCCAAACACGGAGTGTTGCAAGTCTTTTCTTAGGAAGTGGCACACATGACAGTTCATACTAAGTAATAAATATACACAGGAGCAACCTGCACAATTGTTTTAGGGTAATATCATAAATCTGTACATGGTTCATACTTGGATTACTGCCAACTTTTCCTTTTCTGTAAACCATCTCTAAGATGGTTTCCTTTTCTGTAAACCATCTCTAAAAAGCCCTTTGGTCCCATAACAAGTTTTACCTTCCACTTCCTTCTAGTACCCCATCCAACATACCTTTACCTAAAGGATTTGATTTTTGTCTTTCAAGAGCCATGTATGACTTAGTATTAGTTGCATAAAATAAATTTTCCTGATGTGTTTCATTAAAAAAACAGGTTGCTTACCAGTAACTGGTGATCTTCGAGTGGTCATCTGTGCATTCACACCAATGGGATCTAGCGCGCCTGCGCTGGATCTGCCGGTGCTGTAGCAAACTCTTTTAACGGATTTTTGCACCTAGCCCCTCCGGGCATGCGCAGGAGCCCCACTGCGCATGCCCAGAGGGATGGGCGCGGACATCCCGCCAGTTCCTACAAACTGCCACGTATCAACTCCCAATAAAACAGAAGAAGACAGCAGCGGGGCAGGAGGGCGGGTGGTGTGAATGCACAGATGACCACTAGTTACTGGTAAGCAACCTGTTTATCTTCTTCGTGGTCTCTGTGCTTCACACCAATGGAAGATTAGCAAGCAGTAGCCTACCTGGAGGTGGGTGCTGTCAGGTGTTTACTGCTTAGCCGAAGATAAAATCTGACGTCCCATGTTGTAACCAGTGGTTTTGCGGACGTCTAGGGCGTAGTGCCTGATGAAGGTGTTAGGCGTAGCCAAGTTGCAGCTTTGCAAATGTCTTGCAACGGGACTCCCTTGAGAAACGCAGTGGATGTTGCAACAGCTCTTGTGGAATGAGCCCGAAGAGGGCCTGGCAACGGCTGTTTCGACAGTAGGTAGCAAAGTTGTATTAGACCTACGATCCACTTGGATAAACGCTGGGCTGTAATTGGAGTGCCCAGACGAGGGGTAGCGTATGAGACAAAAAGCTTTGACGTTTGTCTGGTGGAGCGTGTCCTATCTAGATAAAAGAGAAGGGCCCGCTTCACATCCAAATTATGCATCAGCCTGTCTTCCTGTGATTTCGGATCAGGAAAGAAATCAGGGAGGTAAACTTCAGACTGTAAATGGAATTCGGATACCACCTTGGGTAGGAAGGAAATGTCTGGCACCAGACGGACCCCATGCGGGAGGAAGGATAGATAAGGTGAGTCGTGTCTGAAAGCCAGAAATTCGCCTACTTGCCTGGCCG